GCTTGCCACATCCAGGGATACACCCATCACGAGGTTACATCCCAACATCCGACACGTCTTGGAATCTGCGAACTGGAAAATCAGCCCTACTATCCCTCCCTAGTATCAGATCATGTCCCATAGCTGAGTCTGGCACGATGTNGACAAAAGTGACAATTGTTTCTGTGTCCGACACGTCTTGGAATCTGCGAACTGGAAAATCAGCCCAACTATCCCTCCCTAGTATCAGATCATGTCCCATAGCTGAGTCTGGCACGATGTACGCATACACACTCGTCCGTACCGTCGGTGTACCGAAATGAACCGGCGCTGATTTTCCGCCCTTCCACATTCAATATTTAATCGCATTCTTCGATCTGTAACCTACGGCACCCCATGGAACCCACCCCATTTCTTGTTCAGTCCTGTTTCAATGCTATCAGCTGAAGCCGAACCAAGTGCTAACATCTTATGCGCACACCGTTCTTGTACAAACGATGCCGGACTTCCCGTATCCAACAGAGCCTTCCACGACATCATCTTAGTCGCTCTCGACCCCGCGAACACTTGAACTCTGGTCGTATGCCGATGTCGGTCCATCGTCCAATCCCCACCGACCGACCGAGGATATGGTGAAAGGTAGTCCGCCGCTTCACCTGCAGCAAACGTAAAAGGAGGCGGAGGGTACACCGCATCACTCCTTTGTCCTGACACAGAATTAACAGATACTTGTACGGCAAAAATGCGATCTCTTCCTTCTTGTGTTTCACCAAAATTTCCTCCCTCCTGCGCTGTTATCTCAACCTCGCGCTTGAGAGAATTTTCAGAGGCGAATGCATCCCCTATCACGCCCTCTTCTCCTTTCACTGGTAAAGCAACAGTTTCATGGTTCTGCTTGCTGCCAGCACGATGAACGGTAACGCTTTTTTCCTTTCTAGTGTCCCTATTAATCGACCCCTTTTTGGCTCCATTTCGACCAACTGTGTGTTCCGCTTGAGGATACAGCGGACACTTCACTGTTGTCGGAGAATTTGCCTTGCGTATTTCCTTCCTTTGAGTGTTTAACGCATTCCCCGCTGGTGTTGCATTGTCAGTAACATTTCCCATTCTGCCAATGCTAGACTTCGTTTGATCTGACGAAGGGGGCGTGTTCGGCACCCCTACTTCTGGAAAATCCCTGTGTGTCTTACTAGTGATTGGTTCCTGAAGCTGTGCAGGTACTCTTGCGACGCACTACGACCAAGAATTTCTTGCGGGGTACTANATTTCCCATTGTGCCAATGCTAGACTTCGTCTGGCCGGACGAAGGGGGCGTGTTCGGCACCCCTACTTCTGGAAAATCCCTGTGTGTCGTACTAGTGATTGGTTCCTGAAGCTGTGCAGGTACTCTTGCGACGCACTACGACCAAGAATTTCTTGCGGGGTACTAGTCCTCAATACATTCTAGCTCCCACGGCCGACACCCGTGCAGCTCAATTTGTCAGCACCCGAAACCACTTGCAGCTTGGGATAGTTACTTCCACCCTGCTTGGAAAATTCCTTAGATACTGAAAAACGTCGCTTACCGTGGTTGGACGAGACGATCCCCGTCGCGAGGCCATCACCCTCGGTGTTGTGCACCACCGATCGGCCCCCCTCCTCCTCAACAATCCCACCCGCCGAGTCGTCTGCGATGTTCTCGCGTAATGATTGTTTTCGCTTCAATTCAGCCTCCCCGAGATTCTGTTTTGATCCCGGTCCTGGGCTCTGCTTTCTTCCCTTCTGCCCGCGATATTTATTTTCGTCATCACAATACCCGGGACCTCCTTCACCCTGCACCATCGCTCCTCGAGATTTCTTTTCAATCTCGTAATATTTTTCACCCCTTCCACTCTTCACCTCCACTCCGCCAGAAGTGGTTTCAATTTCGCAATACCGTTCACTCCTGTTTCCCCNAGCCCCCCCGAGAGTCTGCCTTGATCCCGGTCTTTGGCTCTGCTTTCTTTCCTTCTGCCCGCGGTATTTCTTTTCCTCATCACAATTGTACCCGGGACCTCTTTCACCCTGCACCGTCACCCCTCGAGATTTCGTTTCAATCTCGTAATATAGTTCACCCCCTCCACTCTTCACCTCCGCTCCGCGAGAATTGTTTTCAACTTCGCAATACCGTTCACTCCTTTTTCCCTTCACCTCTCCCTCCTTCCTCTCTTCTCTCTCTGCCTCATCACCCACAGGGCAGCTCGGCCAAGGTGCTACCGGCAAGCTGGCCAACTGACCGTCGCACCATCAGTTATTCCTTACCCTCCTCCTCTCCTCCATCCGATGTGCTTGCCATTGCCTCAGGCGATGCAACCATCGATCCCACCTTGCCTTCACTTCGGCCTTTGACCCGGTTGCCAAATTTTTGTTCAACATGTTCGAGGCGTTAATGTACCCCTTGTCACAATCCCGCACAAAGTGTCCCTCACTGCCACAGTTCAAACACCTTAATCCGAACGCCCGCCTGTGCCTGTCCTTTTCCTCGACAGACGTGAACCACGCGAAGAAAGGGCAATCAGTCGCTTGGCTGTTTGTGCGAGGCGCGGCGTGAATGTCATAGACTCTCTGAAACTCTGCACATTCGTCCTCGTAATCCATGTCCTCCACCGTCATCACCCTTCCCCCATATCCACCATCTGACCTACCAGGAGAAGCGGACCGCNACCCCTTGTCACAATCCCGCACAAAGTGTCCCTCACTGCCACAGTTCAAATACCTTAATCCGAACGAATGCCTGTGTCTGTCCTGTTCCTTGACAGACGTGAATCACGCGAAGAAAGGGCAATCAGTCGCTTGGCTGTTTGTGCGAGGCGCGGCGTGAATGTCATAGACTCTCTGAAACTCTGCACATTCGTCCTCGTAATCCATGTCCTCCACCGTCATCACCCTTCCCCCATATCCACCATCTGACCTACCAGGAGAAGCGGACCGCGTATTCGTTCCCCCTGACCCTGTCCTTCCTCCTCCACCCCCTCTCTGTCCCTGCCTCCACCCCGAGGAGCTCTTTACCTGAGCCATCCTCCGCGTCGGAGTCGTTGCCCCCCCCTTCACCGCCTCGAAATTTCGCAACTCATGCATCAAGGTGTCGATGTTATCGAACGCCACAACGCACAACTCCTTGCCCTTGAACATGGAAGCGGTCAAAACACTGTATTGATCAGACACACTCTCTCTGACTGCCAGTTGAATTGTGTTGTCCTGCGGCGTCACAACTCCCAGGTTCCGAACATTGTGCACCAACCCCTGCAATGTAGTCAAGTACTCGCTATACGGCGTTCCAGTAGGTACTGCACACGTCTGCAAGTCGTACACCAACTTCTCGGGTGACGATGAACTCACCACCCTCCACAACGCCGAAGTCAAGAATGTCAACGCTTTCTTACCCGTCGACCCTTCATCCATCTTCTTCGACGTGTCCGCAAAGACCTTGTCTATCTTCTCGCGGAACGTTATCGTCTTGGCAGGGGACATGGATCGGGTGATGGAAGTGATCAGATGTCTGTGCACAGGTTTTTCCCATCCTGGCACCCACCATCCATTGTAATCCCCCTCCGCCACAAACACATCGTTGACTGTATCTTCCAACCTTTTGTTGAAAGAAACCAACTCTCCCGGGGAATCAGAGAGTGGTATCCAAGGGAGCTTAGTCCAATCCTTCATGTTCATCGTCACATAGCCCGTCATGATCTTCTGTTTCTCCCTCGAGGTCAACGGCTGGATTGTGACACTCTCCTGTGCTTCCTTGACCGTTACGACCTGCTCTGTCTGAGACACCACCTCTTCCTGCTCTTGATTGACAGGCACCGACCCCCTTGCCGTCACCCTAGGTTCAGTTGCACCTGCTTGAGGTTTTACGTCCGTCCGTGTCCTGGAGGCTCAGCCGTTTGAACTGACCTCCCATTTCAGCCAACTTCTGCTTCAGAGTTTCGATTTCCTTCTCTTTGTTCGAGAACTCATCCTGGAACTCGGTTTTGAGTTTGTCATCCAACGGGGCAGTATTTTCTTCCCTCAACACTTCTTCCTCCTTCCCTTCTTCCCNCCTTCTTCCTTGACAGACACGTTACCCCCCCTGTCACCTCCCACCCACCTTCCAGTGTGGAAGTTGCCTTGCCGGTCGCAGTAAACCTTGCCCCCGTGAGGACCCTCGTCATACCCCCCTCCCTGTGACCAGAACTGCTGCGGCACCTGCATCTGCGGCGGGGGCTGTTGCCACTGCTGCTGCTGTTGCTGCTGCTGCTGCTGCGGCGGCTGCTGCGGTTGCCACTGCTGAGGCTGTGGTGCCTGCCAATCATGGCGCTGCTGCCCTTGGCGGACATTTGCTCTTTCCTCACTCCGACCACTCTGACTAGCACCCTGTCCTCCTCGACCCCCACCCCTGGAATCCCTTGGCATACCTCTACCTCCTTCCTCTCCCCTTCCCCCTGCCTTGAGAGTTGTGGCTGGGTCTTCTTGACCCTTGGTTTTGCACTATTAGGTGGTTCTGGCATGGGTAGGCTCTCTATCCCTGCCATCTGTTGAGTGAGCAGGCCCCTTCTCGCTGTTTGTGCTTACTTTCTGTGATCTAGGAATTTAGAATTCGCCTCCCCGAATTTCTCCCGTAACCGCGCCAACCCTTCCTGTGCCTTGTCTAGGACAGATTTCAGCTTAGCCCCACCATGTCTTTTCTTGACAGCGGAAAGTTCCTGTGTCTTTTCCTTGTGCTCGCTCTTCACGCCTTCAAGGGAAATTTTCTCCCTCTCCACTTCTCGCTCGTAGTGAGCCTTTTTTTCTGCCTCCTTCACAGGTGTTCGCGCCTATGGAAAAAAATCCATATTTTTTTTTTATGCAGACATTACAAATCCTGGAATCACATCGGGAAGCAGTCTCTCCGCGAAGTGCTTTTGGTTATTCTGCCACAACTCGCGCTGTAGTGCTGATCCCAATTCGTGCACATCATCAATGGATTTCCCACACATTGGCGGTGCTCACACACCTATTCGCTGTCAATTTTGGTTCACCCCATCGGGTAACCAAACTGCATTTAGGTCCGTTGCGTGCTTCCAGTATTTCGAATACAGGCTGTTTTTTCCTTTTTTCTGCTGCAATGTTCAACGCGCAACGGCGCCGTCACACGGCCAGCCAGCGCTCCATTGACTGCAGCAGAAGTGCGTGAGTGGCTTGTTAGGGTTCTGTGAGCACGGTTGTTTCGAATATCACCACACGCATGAGTATCACAGATATTGGTGAAGAGGTCATGAGGTATGAACTGCTATTCCCCTTACAGCAGTTATTATGCCGCTCGCTTGCACATGGCGCGCGCGCCACGCCCAACACGTGTGCTAACGCTTGGCCTGTTAAGGTCAGCAGTTGCGCTGCCGTCGAGAGTGTTCACATGAAGTCTGGCTGCCCTATGGGTTAGTCAGCGTTTCTTTCATAGCAAATGCAACAACAGCCGTCCGCCTTGCAACAACAGAGTACAAATTTCAAAATTTGAACTTCGAGCACACACCCCGTCCCCGCTTGCGCTCTCCACACGCCATAGACACTTGTGCAGTCAGCAGTAGCGACGCCAAATCGCGTATGCTATATGAGGGTTCACAATTATTGTCACTCACATTCTCCTGCGTGAACAACTGGTTCACCGAGTATTGAAAAGTGCAATATTTTCCGTGGTGGGTGGTGTGGGGCAAACATGTGTCTGTTGCATGTCGTAAGAAACCACCTACCCTTCAGCCCTGATTCTCTCACCCGATGAATAACACGACGATCCTGGGTAGGGTGGTGGCATAGAGATACAACAGTAGTTGAAATGAACGCGCACGATTCTTATGTTTGACGAACTTAAAAAACAAAACCTAAAATCGAGTTAAGTTATTGTCAAGACCTCGGTTGTTCCCGTAGGGTGTAAGGCATATTTTTACTCTCATCACTACTAAACTAGTCTAGTAGTCTGTATAGAACTGTAGTATGCATACATGCAGACCTTCCACGCGTTACAGGGACAAAAGTCCTGGTGACACATCCTCGTTGCTCGGTTGACATGTCTGGCTGGACTTGGCAACCCACGTTGACAGGTCCAAGC